TTACCTTCATGCTGTATGTTTGTCTTGTATTTGTTTCTACAACTGTAGTTGGAAATAACAGGGGGGGGTGATAACAGTGGGGGGGTGATAACAGTGGGGGGGTGAGGGACCCCTGTATCGTTGTGCCTATAGTATCACAATATATTGCAATATATCACATTGTTGCCCCTGTATCTGATACATATGGTGTCGTAACTAAGAAGTAAGTAAAGGTACTGACTGTAGGTGAGTACAGGTACACAGACCTGTACTCAGAGAGTACACAGGGAGCAGGACTGGTACAGTGTGGTCTCCGACTGAATACACAGTAATGGTGATGAATGTGGGCAGATGCTGACCCCTGTTGTTTGAGTGGGGTAAGTCATTAGTTATCCATGAATATGAAAAATGACGTTCATGAGACACTGTTATCCACAGCGACTGTGGTTCCTCTGGGAATCGAACCCTGTAGGATATCTAACCCATCTGTACTCATGAAGTATTTTAACAGTACTAATGTCACCACTGAAAACCAACCAGAACTCCTTCATCTGACGTCTGATTTGTGTCCAGGTGCTGTGTCCGTGGGGGGGGGGGCAGTAACCATGGAGAGGCTGTTGCTGTGTTTGATGGTGGCAGTTTCCATGGCAGTGCGAGCTCAGATCTGCCCCAAACGCTGCGTGTGTCAGATCCTGTCACCCAACCTGGCAACCCTGTGTGCCAAGAAAGGCCTCCTCTTCGTGCCCCCCAACATCGACAGACACACCGTGGAGCTGCGGCTGGCCGACAACTTCGTGACCAGGTGAGAACCAAGTCCAACGTTTGTCACCTGCTAATGTAGTACTCCTACTGCCGTAAGAAGTATCCGCTGCTCACCAGTACTTCAAACACATTTGACTGTAAAATCAAACCTGTCAATCACAGAACAGTACCAAACAGTTCCTCTTAGAACTGTAAATGCTCTACTGTTCTTCACAGACCAGCTGAAGGTTCTCTTCTGACTGTACTGTGTGTAAATATATATTTAATATATGTTCACTGCTGTCCACTTGTCTTCTCCGTGTGTGTGAATATATATATTTAATATATATTTAATATATGTTCACTGCATCCACTTGTCTTCTCTGGGTTTGAATATATATATTTAATATATATTTAATATATGTTCACTGCTGTCCACTTGTCTTCTCTCTGTGTGTGAATATATATATTTAATATATATTTAATATATGTTCACTGC